GAAACCCTAATTCATATTATCCTCATAAGGATCAGAGCTAGCTATCAAGAGAAGATTAGACCTCCATAGGATCTAGTCTTTAGAAATAGAGAGATGGAGAGTGAGAGAAGAGTTTGGTGGAGGTGTCGGCCTATCGGTGCTCTCTCTACGGCTTGTACCTTGGTGAAAGTCAACCTTGCGTCTGAGATTTCTCTGGTAATCAACTTCTGATTTAAGTAAGTAATGTGTTTATATTGTTCTTTTGGTTTGCGAGTCTCTTTTGAGTGCTTTAATCTATTGACCTTAGGTTAAAGTATTATTCGTAGTGTAAGCGTGGTGCTTAGATTCGGGTAACTCATGGATGTACCCTACATTCCGAATCGGTGGTAGCTCCCGAGGGTGACTCTTATAGCCTCGTTGAATCTTCTGTAGTCCACCTCCTGTTTGTAGGACTAGCAGGATTTAGTTATTATAGAAAACATACTCTGTCTGTGTTTTCCTTAGTAATATCCCCAGTTGAACAATGGAAGACATAGCTTATCGAGATTAGAACTAGAAGACCTTAGCGATCTCCTCTACACTCCCGACTTTCTTAAGTCTTGTTGCTACTCTTGGTTAAGTTGGACCGTAGTTAACCTCACACGTTTTCCTGTGGATACGATACTACAGCGGGTGAAAGCTACAACGGTATCCGTGTGCTTGCGGATTTATCTGTGTGCGTTAAAATATACCAACAAGGGGCTACTCATTTCCTTTGGCACCGAGGTCTACTTTACCTTCACTGATCACTTCGGCTTGAGAGGTTCACCAAAAACTTCGGTTCGGACATCTACTTCCGCTACTATGGCTACTATGACTATGTCGAATACACAAAGAATGGTTGGAGATTTAGTCATGAGCGGCAGCCAAGAGGGGCTAGTGGAGCATACTAGACGACCAACCACTCTAGAGGGTGAAATCTTTTGCCCGGCGCTAGTGAGAGAAAATATGGAGGCTTCATGGAAACCTTCAGCTATGACTACTTCGTCCACATTGACTATGACTACGATATTTAGTCCTAAGGAGAAGAAGCATCTTCAAGACAAGATCTACGTAAGAAGATTCCAATGGTGAAGATTTTGCATGAGAACATCCCAAAGTGGAAATATGTGCATCGGGCAAAGCCAACAAGCCAAGTCATGGAAGCGGCCAAGGGAGACAAAGCCCAAAGACAAAGATATCGAGAAGATTATCACTGAGGCATTCAGCGCCAGTAGCTTCTAGAGTTAGCACTATTATAGACTATAGTGGTGTGTGTGCTCTTTTCTCCATGCCCTTTTTCACAGGGTTGTTAGGATGGAGTTTTTAGTAAGACGCACATGTGTTGGTTGTGAAGGACAATCCTCGCGACTAGGGTTAGAGTTACATTTGTGCCTCTTCTAGTACGGGCATCTACTAGGTCACCTAGTACCACCCATATCCTAGTAGGTGAGAGGCTACTGTTGAGGGAGCCCATGAAGTATATGGACCAAGACTCCCACTAGAAGAGGCCCAAATACTAGCAAGAGTAGTGTCGTGTAAAAACCAACTCCACCAAGGGGTAACTTGTAAATGACCACTGCCTATATAAGTGCCTAAGGGCATGAGGATAGGGGGCTCTCTCTCTCTCTCACTTGTTCAAAACGCAGCTCTCTCCTCTCCACCTTTCTCCTCTCTAACCCTGTCGAACCACAAGTTCCAACACAATTCAAGAGTCAATAGCTTATTCAAATTGAACTATGTTTATTTGCACAAAAAAATTGAACTACGTTTGAGGTTGGCTATTGAGATGGACTACAAGATGCCTTCAATTTAATCATTTAATAAGACTTTAGCATGCGATGACATATCTTCGAAGGCTCTCTACTATTCCATGAGCCAAACTCTCTTTTTCCATTACATGAATACTATGGTAGGTTATACATCTTTGATTTCTGGTGTTTTCTACACATCATTGTACCTCTCATTCAACTATCCCACATATAAAGCTGCTAATGGGCTAACAACCGGATCAAATCCGTACCAAACTAAATTATGCTTAAACAGAATTGACCAAACACATCCACGCCACACTACTCTGGTTCTCAAAACCAAACCAATCTAACCTACTGGAATCTTTACCCAAAACCAATCCAAACCCATCTCTTGGACAACAATTCCAAACTATTATGTGTAGTTCGAAACCATTCTGTTGTTTATAGCGGATAGAGAAACATGCAAGAAACCCTAGCTAATTAATATAGCAACAAGCAACAGCAAATGGCGGTGTGGCTAACAATACATAAATCAAATCAAATGCATACCTGGATGCATGGCGAAAGAGACCGGTCCTCGATGTGAAGAGGTGCGGCGGTGGCGTCTTCGACATAGCCCACGGGCTTCTTGCAGGTGATGATGGGCTTCTCTCCGGCCACAAACTCTGTGAGGGACACATACTCGTAGACTTGATGATTGACCTCCTCCTTCGAGCCTGCTAGAAGGATCTTGATATTGCGGACGCCAGAGATGGCTCATCTAAATGCTGGAGGAGCAGCAGAAGGCGACCGCGCCTCGCCATCGGCCATTATGTGCGGTTCGAAACCATTATGTAGCGATACCACTATAGCCACTACAAAAATAGATAGCTGATCTTATTACATCCAGGTGTACATAGAAAGCACTCAATAGAAATACAAAATACGGTAACTGATGTTGTTACATCACAATTTTAACCACATCAAATCCAGAGTGCAGATATTAAAAGTATTAAAAGTATTAAAAGTACTTCTAAATGAAAAACTCGAAGTGGCAAAACTTAATCTTGCTTCAATAAGCATCCTATCATTATACCGCACACCAAAACTTAATCACGATGTGCATTATAGTATATAGAAACCTTCTCTAAAAGTCAAACAAGATTTATGAAGACCTGATAAGATGAAGTTATATTATTGTTCAATCCATCTACAATATATATAACTTTATGTTTTGTTTTTTCTGTAGCAAAAATATGAAGGCAACATGAGAAGAGTGATGGGGCATCTAGATGGTGTCAGAATAGAGATGGAAGCATGGTCCGATTGATTTAGTCTTGCCATCTTACCTAGCACAGTAGCACTAGACACCTTCCCATAATTTTGTTGGCAAGCTTTCCTTCCAACCGGTGATGGTCAACACTTGCAGAGATGTGGTGACGTCCAAGTCTGCATGCCATTATATTGTGGCTCATATTTTCGTTAAGATATGGGTAGAAACCTGTTTTCCAAAGATAAAAGAGCGCAAATTGACAAAATCTAAGCCTTTTGTGGTAAGGGGCAAAAGGACTATATCTACAAATTCATCACAATAGGTGCAAACCACCGACTAATAAGTTTACGCAAAACACGACAAATCTACATGTAGTCTGGACTGAAAGCGACAATCTATAAATTAAAAATGACCGGCCTAAACCGACAATTTGCAAATGCGTTAAGCAACAGACTCAAACCGACAATATACAAGTAGCAGAAATCAATAACCAGTAGTTGTCTAAAGCAAATAAGACACACAAATTGACAATCCACAAGTTCATCATGCAACTGATTAATGCTTATGCGCCATGCTGCAGCCCAGGTCTTGGCCAAATAAATCAATAGTAAATCAATTGAACGATGAAGGATTAGGCTGTAGCAATTTCATTCATACGCGGGCCATAGCTTGTTCTTGGATCCACCCTAGTTACGGGGTCTGTAAACTCTTTCTAACTCCTCTTAACGAAAAACGTGTTTATGCACAGTCCAAAAAAAATAGCAAACTCCAATATATGTGAAAAATCTTAATCTTGATCTAATGAGCTCCCTATAGGAATCTCCTAACAGTCCAACAAGATTCATGAAAACCTGATTTGATGAACTTAAGTTGTTCATCGAGCACATCATTACATAATTTGTTTTTGTAACACAATGAAGAGGACGACATGAACGGAGAGCGGGGAATCTAGACGGCGCTGCCGCTGCGAGTCGTTCGAAAGATTTTACTCGTGTCGTCTCACCTAACTCGATCTGGTCCGCTCTTCCCCAGTTTTGCTGGGCAAAAAGGCTCCCGTTTCGACGAGCGACTGGCAACACGCTCCGGCGGAGCCGCGCGCGGTGACGCGCGGGGTCTGCATGCCGTCCTTGTGGGCTTGTGGCTGCATGCTGCTGTCCTGCCAATGCAAGGCGCGTCCCATGCAAGCTCAACGCTGCAGGCCTGCGCATGTAGACATGCACGGGAGCTCAAATTGTGTGATGCTAGCTTGTACAGTGCTCCACTAGTTTAACCACTAGCGGCGTGGGTGTTATGCAGCTGGCTCACAATATATAGTATTGATTAATTATCTTTTTGCATAGAAAATAAAGGGGCCTAATTAATCTCAGAAAAATAGTCTTTTACCTCTTCGTAGTACAACAGCATGCGGTTCTCCGATGTTGTTTAGTTTTTATGTGCTTCTCCTATAGTCTTATGCATCTAAAGAATCACACAAAGAAAAAAAAAAGATACCTTATTCTACTCCCTCTATTCGAAATTTTACTCCATCCATTTCAAATAATAAGACGTTTTTAGTTTTCTGGATACATAGTTTTTGCTATGTACTTAAACATATACTTTGTCTAGATACATAATAAAAAACAAATGTATCTAGAAAAGACAAAATGTCTTATACTTTTGTAATGGAGGAAGTAAAGTCTTTTTGGCTTTTTTAAATATATATAATTTTTATGATGTATCTAGACATAATGTATACCTAGGTGCATAGCAAAAATCCATACACCTTTTGAGAGAGTACTTTATAATAGTTTTTTTATTAATAAAAAAACAGATAATCCAAGCTGAGTGTGGTTGGTGACAGCCACACTTCCCACCTCAACAGTAAAGCTAGCTCTATAAAAGACCAGCCCCGTGACCTCAAAAATCACAGTAGCCAGATCCAGAAATGAGGGACAGGCTCAAACACAAACTAGGAGATAGGAGATAGGAGATAGGTGCTTATTGAGTTAACCCCTACGATGTCGCTGGAAGATAGTTTCAAGAAGAGGGTAGCCAAGTGCCGCAGGGAACATGACATTATTTACAGGCAGGTAATCATCGGCCAGTTGGTCATTTAATTAAAATCTGCTTCACTACGGTTGATTGAATAATTAATAGTACGACTTCAAGAGAACAGCAAAGAATTGAGAATACTAAATCTCCATATATGTTTTATCCGTGCTATGCACACGCAGCTCCCAGTGCTGCTAGAGAAGCTGGAGATTCTGTTTCCTACGGGGAAGAAGACGGAAAGCTCCGAGCCGCAGGTAGGCAAATCATAATTTTTTTTTTTTTGACTTCCCAGCGGTCTGTGAACCAGATGCCCTAAGCTAAACCATATATACGGAGGCAACGCTGCAACTGAGTATATAATCTACTAATTTGTCTCTGGATCTTTCCTTGCTTCTCTCAGAACAAATCTGAAACAAAGAAGAAGCTGGTCGCCCCGCTGACGCCGGCAGAAATAGGGGAGCGCTACAAGGATCTGGAGGAGACCATCAAAGGATTCCTCAAGGACCTGGACGACGCCGAGAAGGAGACCGGAGGCACGAGCCAGGCGGCAATGCCACCTTCAGTGGAAGACGAATAATAATCAAGAGCAGCAGCAGCACAAGGAGGGAGCCAGGCCTGGATCTGCAGGAGGATCAACCCATCTAAGAATAATTATTAGTTTCTTATTTCGTCGTTCATTTTTCTCAGTTGATTAATCGTCTGGATGTTGGATAATAATTTAGCTGTTCTGGTGTGTTGTGATTCCGATCGATTAGGGCAGCTAGCTTGTGTTCGTCAGCTGTACCCAGACTGCTCGCTTTCCGTGGAATCTGAGTACTTCCTATGTGTGTCGTTTATGATTATGATCTAATTTATCCTTACTGGCATGATGAATCCGAGTACTTTCCTATTTGTGCCAACTATTTACTCAATGATTTCTCTTTATGTTTCTCCCCGCAAAAGTTTTTGTTCAAGCTTATATTTTGCATGCTCAAGTATATATGATCACATGTTCTATCAATTCGTTCTTTTGTTGGAATATTTTACGCAATTCTTGAGGTGCGCTTAATACTTCTGTCATTTCTAGTTTGGGCTCAACATAAAAAGGCATCACCTCAAATAAGTGCCACCATTTTTTTCTAATTATGAAAATAAAAAATATCGGGCACACCACTAGCTCAATTAGAATAGGAAATACCTGTATTCATTAGTTGTTGTACAAAATCATTTTTTTAGAGTCAGACATCTTTCTGTTCAACATCTAATAAAAAATATTTAGTATGATAAAAGGCTATATGGATATGACTTCGATTGGCTCTATAAATCTAGCTAAGAGCAATTATAATAGTAGGCTGTAAGTTGGTTGAATGCTGAGATGGAAGAAAGAGAAAAGAAGATAATAGGGAAGCTTTCTGAGAGAAATAAGTGGGCCATATATTAATTGTGAAAAACAAACTACTATATGAGTGGGCTAAAAGATGAACTGTAAGGATTCATAAAGACAGCAACATGCTGTCTTATTAGGCTTGCTCTAAGAGACAAATGCTCTTGATATATAGTAATATAATAGGACCTCTTTTAATGTGGATAAATCCCGAGATTTTAAACTTTATACTACTCGAGACATAACAAAGTCCTAAGACATCCCCAGCATAAGGTCTCCCCTGTGGAATTCGTTGATATACTCTCTCTCCATTCTAAAATGTTGGCCGTTAGTTTTTTTCTCAGTTAAATTTCTTTTATTTTGATCTAGTTTATTAAACAAATACACCAACATCCGTAATAAAAAATTAAGTTTATATTAAATTCACCATAAAATGTCTTGACAGCCAGGCGAGGGCATTTAGTTGGTATTATTATAGTTGTTAATAAATCCATTCATATAAACTTGGTCAAAGTTAAAAAAAATGTTTCCTTAAAAAACTAAAACAGTGTAGTTTTAGAAAAAAGATAGTACCGGAAAATGTCGACCAAAGCCTACTTCCCAAACTATGTTTTTTCCTACATCTTGCTTTTGCGACAAACTTTGTAGCAGCCACAATATCACTGTACCTTGCCCACTATTAGAATCTACATAATGAAGTGAACATACTTGGCACACAACTAGTGCAAATTGACAATCACAATTTCATTCAGACCAGAGCGAACAAAATTGCAAACAAAAATGTGTAAATGGACAAGCAAGATTGTATTTGTCGTAAAAGGGAGAAACAACAAACTGCATGCAAATTTGTTAACCAATATATGTGAATCAATAGTCTACAAGTTCCCAAAATGGAAACCAACAATCTATGCGCATGAATGGATGCAAATCGACAATCTACCAAGGTGCTAATAAATGTTTGGAAACCGACAATTTTGTAAATGAATTAAGCAACAGGCGAAAACCGACAATCTACAAATTTGCAAAGAAAAAAAATTGTGCAAATGGACAAGTGAGATAGTCTTTAATTTGTCGTAAGAGAGCAAAATGATAAACTACAAATTTGTTAACCGATATATGTGAATGTGTTAAAAACCGATAATCTACAAGTTCGTTAAATGGAATCCAACAATTTGCAACGACAAGATGAGCAAATGGACAAGTAAGATAGTCTATGTTGTAAGAGGGTGAAATGACAAAGTACAAATTTGTTAACCAATGTGTGTGAACCGTCAGTCTACAAGTTCCAAAAAGGAAATTGATAATCTACTAAGCATTAACGAATGGATGCAAAACGATAATCTACCAAGGCACTAACAAATGGTTGCAAACCGACAATCTATAAATGTGTTAAGCAAAAGGCAAAAACCGACAATCTACATATTCATTAAATGGAACCCGACAATTTGCAAAGAAAAAATGTACAGATGGACAAGAGAGATAGTCTTTATTATCGTAAGAGGGTGACAGGTCAAACTGCAAAAATTTTTTAACCAATATTTGTGAACCGACAATCTAAAAGCTCTCAAAATGGAAACCAACAATCTAGGCATTACTGAATGGGTGCAAACCGACAATACCATGGTGTCATGGGTTCGTAACCACAACTAGGAATTAGAGGATTGATTAGTGGGTCGATGTGTGGGACTTTGGTGGTTAGCACTCAAGACACGAAAGGTTTATCCTAGTTTGGGCTTATGAGCCCTAGGTTCAGCAACGAGTTCTTCGTGTTAGAATGCTCAAGCGAGGTCTTACACACATGTGCGCGGACACGAACACACACACGCACACATAGAGAGAGATATATGGTAGGGGAGCAATAGCTAGTTCTAGTCTAGGGTTTCTTTCTTGGATTGGGTCAAATCGATCTCTTGCTGTCCATAGGAGCCTCTACCCTAACCTATATATCTCTTGAGGGGTGAGAGGAGTACAAGGAGTTGGGTCTGGTAGCTTCCTTGGTCGGCAAGTGAGCTCAAGGGTTTCGTGTTCCTAATCTTGGAGTTGTTGGGGGCGCCCGACGTTGTCTCCTTTGTGGTCCTAGCCGATAGTGCTGGACCCATCCCTGATGTTGCTTGTAGATGTCTAGAGACGATCGTCAGAGCCTAGAGATGTCATTGTGTCTCCCCCAGGGTCTGCTCTTCTCTTGGTGTCTGTCGCTTGCCAACAAAGGAGAAGACTCCTTTGTGGCCCTACCGATAGTACTGGACCCATCCCTGATGTCGCTTGCGGAGGTCTAGAGCCGATCATCAGAGCCTAGAGATGTAGTTGTGTCTCCCCGGATCTGCTCTTCTCTTGGTGTCCGTCGCTTGCAAATGAAGGAGAACCCCCCTAGGAGAGACTAACATGGTGCCCTACACCCTCATCTCTTCCTTGAGGCAAAGTGACTGCACGTTCCCCCTATTGTGTTGCGTCACGCCCCGGGCCTGACCCCTTGCTAGGAGTGGTTGAGACAAAGCCTCACGACAGGAGCAAGGGGACAATGCTCTGCTAGGGCCGTGGGCGCTGCAACTCTCCTGATGCTTGTCAAAAGATTCCCAACATCGTTGCATGCTGAGAGTTGGTCAGGACAATAGGATGTGGGCCCATTGCCATAGAGCCACCTTCAGTTAGTCATGGGCATCGGCGCTGACACTTTTGGGAGGCCTGTGTCGAGCTCCTAGGGAGCCCCTAGATTCCTGGGTGAGGGACGTGTTTGCTGGTTCCGCCAAAGGCGCCTTTCGTGAACGATGAGACTGCCCATCGCCCGAGCTATCTTGAGCCCTACGAGCATTTCTTGATATCCGGCGGGGGCGTGTGAGCACACCGGTTGGGTGTAGCCCCTAAGCCTTGGGCACGATTAGGAAAGTCGGTCATGAGTTAATCGTACTGTCATGATGCTAACCCAAGGATTTAGGTAACCCCAGTGTTATGTGTTCATCAAATGGCGTTGATGAATGGTTGCAAACCAACAATCTGTAAATGCATTAAGCAAAGGGAGGAAACCAACAATTTATAAGTTTGTTAAATGGAATCGGACAATTTGCAAAGAAAAATTGTACAAATGGACAAGAAAGATAGTCTTTGTCATAACAAGGTGAAACGACAAACTACAAATTTGTTAAGCAATATATGTGAACCAACAATCTACACAAGTTATAAAAATGGAAACCTTCAATCTACCATAAGGTGTCAAAGAATAGGTGCAAACCAACAATCTACCATGTCGTTAATAAATGGTTGCAAACTATAAAGGAAAAGTCTACTTAACCCCCTCACCAATAAAACTAGGTATTCTACCCCTCAAACTATTGAAAATCATCTAAATAACCCCCTGAAGAGGTTTTGAAGTTGGTTTTGATGATGTGACATATTAAAAAGTCTATATAACCCCATAACTTATCAATGGTTGATTGCATGACCCCCTCAACTATAAAATATGATATCATAGTCCGTAAAGCATCAAATAATGTTTAAATGGCTCACCGGATGGTCTTTATGGTCATTTGAACACCGTTTCCCGCCACACTGGCCTAAACACACATGCTTGCACATAGGCCGTTTGTTACCGCCACCTCCCTACTCTTTCTAGACTGACCCACCGCTCAATGAGCAGCATGTGACATCTTGTCTCTTGCTCCACCTTTCATCACTCATCGTCTCATCGGTGACATTGAGCTCAAGCACGCCACACTTACGTCGTCGTTCAACCCCTCCCACATAGTTCATCTGGTTGTCCTTTAATTTTTTAGGTAGCCATAAGAGGAGAAAGAGAGAGGGGTGGGGATGTGGGAGGTAGCCATAGGAGAAGAAAGTGAGAGGGGTGAGGATGTGGGAGGAGTCGGATGACAAGGGCGCAAGCATAGTGCATGTGCTCAATGTCGTCAAGGGGGAGGCAGTCGATGGGCCTATGTGCAAGCATGTGTGCTTAGGACTACGTGGTGGGATACAGTGTCCAACAACCCTACATGACCATCATTTGAACATTATTAGATGCATTAAGAGCTACAATATCACATTTTATAGTTGAGGGGGCTATGTAGTCAACTATTGGTATGTTAGGGGTTATATAGACTTTTTAATATGCCATGTCAGCAAAACCACTTTCAAAACCGCGTCAGGGGGTTATTTAGATGGTTTTCAATAGTTTGAGGGGTAGAATACCTGGTTTTATAGGTGAGGGGGTGAAGTACACAACT